TCGATTTTGTAGTACTAATTTGATTGACTGTAGATCATCTGTAGATCAATTTTGCAGATCTAATTTCAAGGGTAACACTATTTAAACTTATGGAAACTGGCCATATATTTTGATTTTATAATTGCAGTCCTAAAAGATACTCAACATCTAACACTATTCGATGCTATTCTAGTTTTAAATAGAATTATTAAAGAAAGTAAAGTAGGAATAGTGCAGTCAGGTATTATTAGTACAATATGACATTGGCTTAGTTTAAAGTCTGCTGATTTTATTATAGATACGCTTATAGCATTATCTGCGTTGACATCAGTTCTGATATTTATATTTTCACCAGTTCATTCTGAAGACTATTCTTTCGAAAATCATTTTAAATCTCAGCTATAGACAAAGATTTTATTATATGCATTTATCCTTAATGCAGATTCCTTTAAACCTATATAGGAATTCCATCATCAAATGCCTGGTAATGATGAAAAGGGATCAGTCAGGTCAGATTTTGCATGCGTTGTTATTTCGCATATCACAAAGAAGCAGTACCCCTTTTTTATCTTGAAGTTTGAAATTGGTGGTATGCAGGCCCATAAAGATTTTGCAGTTGTTGTTGCTAAGGCTGCCCATGCTTTAAACTGCATACTTTCAATGCACATGCTTACGGAATTGAAAATATCCTTGATCTGAGTGCATGTTGCTTTAGTCAATGATGCTTATATACGTCTTGGAATACTAAGACCTTTCTATAATAAAGAATGTGACATGACCTTATATATTTATGATCAAGATATCAAGAACTTTGATCTGTGATCAGGTTGCATTGGAATTGATATTGAAAATGTATACAATTTAATCACTTATCTGAGAAAGATTGTATGTAAGGATGGCTTGTATTTGATGAATCTTCTTGGTAAGCATAAGATTTCTAAAAAAAATGAAAAAAACGAAAATTTTTTGCTGGATTGCCAATGTTTTCATTAGAAGCAAAAATTCTAGAACATTAAGTGTTAATTTTAATCCAAAAGTTAAAAGAATTAGATACGAGCTGTATAGTACTAGGAATGAAGGAGTTATTAGTAATCATTCAATATTAACTAGCGAGTTAGTTTTTTTTCTCAGTATCCACTACATATTTAATGCATATCAGAAGTGCAATAAGTCATACAAACGTAATTTGTCATACATAGAATAATGATCATGATGAGTAGATTATTTTTTTATAATTTTTTTAATAAAAAAAGCATAAATGATTGATTTGAAGATTTTTAATATATTTTTTTTTTGATATGGTATATTTTTTTTATAATTAAATTAAAGATTATGATAAGCAAATTATGATTTTAGTTAAATAATCTATCTAATAAAAAGATCTTGATATTTAAAAAGGTATCAGTTAGATAATGTAATGCTTTATCATTTTTATTTAAAAAATAAGCATTTTATGATTGAAAATTATAAGGATTTAATCGTGAAATATTATGTAATCTTTGATATTCTAGGATCATATCCTGATCTGTCATGAATGCTAACCTATCAAGATGAGAAATCTCAATATTATCCCAGGTAGAATATCTGTAAGGGCGACATAGGCTTGACCTACAAAGAAGATATTTTGATCTAAAGCGAGAGAAACATTTGGTAAAGTTAAGCCCTGTATTTTGTGAACAGTCAGAGCAAAGCAGTTCTGTAGTGGATATTGAGTTCTGTGACAGTTATTTCTAAATAATTAAAAGTGATGTATTTATTTGTAAATAGTTGTATCTATTATTGAATCTCTTACAGAAAATGTGACTTGAACAGAATGATCGATAAGGTTTAAATCTATAATAATTCTAACTGTTCCATTACAAATTCTTTGCTCAAATAAAAAGTTATTAAGATACATGATACAAGCACCTAATTGTAATCTTATAGTAGATTTGTTTACTTTTAAAAGAGCTTTTAGAAAAACAAGAATCTCACGATGTGGAATTTACTAAATCTACAGCTTGTGATATAAAGAATTTTCCTTCAGTAACAGGTAATATATTACAAATCATTCGATTAATTTGCTGAGTATTTTCTCTAAAGCTGACAATATTAGTAGTATTGAGAAGTGTATCGATTGCTGAATGTGATAAAATTCAGAATGTTTTTGATTGAGCATCTGTCATGTTTCAGCAAATATATTACCCATTCAAACTTCTTGTAATATTTGATAAAATCTGCTATCAGATTGTTGACGTTGTGAAGTCATTAAGAATAAAGGATAGAATAAAGTCCAGGTCATTGAACAAAATACAGGTTGACCTGTAATAGGCAGTAATTGAGCAAGGTCACCTACTACAATCACATTTATTCTACCAAATGGAATAGTATTATTATTAAGATTAGCAAAAAGATTAGATATAAAATCAAAGAGCTGTGCTGAAACCATTGAAATTTCATTGATGATGATAGTATCAATTACTTTTAATGATTCATTTAATTCTTTATTAATATATGTATGTGTATGAAAATTATCATAATTTAGAATAATCTGCAATGCAGAATGGATAGTTCTTTCTCCCACATTTTGGGTGACAACACCAGTAGGAGCTAGAAGAAGATATTTAGATTTTTTTTGTTTAAGAGTATTTATCAGCAGGTTTATGATATATGATTTACCCGTTCCTGCAGAACCTGTAATAAAATAATATGGCCATTTGATACCATCATTTGGGCCAAGATATGAAGAGATTGTTGATAAGACATAATACTGATCTTCTGGTAGATCAAGTATAGCAGTTTCAGGTAATAAGTGAGAAAGCATCTTGATATTTTCTAATTGTAATCTTATAATATCCTGAATTATTGTTGGGAGTTTTTGGTGTAATGATTGTAGCAATCTGTCTAGCATTTCAGCAAATTGATTATTAAGATAAGTGATACGTGAGTGATGGTTATTTATGGTTTAGATCTGTAAGGTCATCAAGAAATCAGGAAATAATGACAAAATTTTTTGTCAGTATATTCCATTAAGTCCTATTTTATAATCAGATTCATATCTTACAGGTATGGTAAGAAGAAGTTTTTGATAGAAGTATAATTTAGCATCTTGAAGTTTAAAAAAATGATATCTCACTATTATTTCTTTAGATTGTTTTACAACATAATTATTTAATTGATTATGAAAGATCAATCAATTAGTTAAAGGTCTTGAAGGAGAGATCAAATATCTTTCAAAATATTGAGGATAGGTAAGTAGATCAAATTCAGGAGAGATAGGTCGTGCCATATATTTGGTTATGGTATCATCATAATAAAGGTTTTCATCTTCTTCATATATTAAATAGATAAGAAGCATTAGACGAGATCTTGTATTAGGAGGTTTAGTGGTGAGGAATTTTACAGTACTTGATGAATTACAGATTTGATGACCTAAAAGCAAAAACATCAATTCTATAGAGCTGAGCCTTCGTATGATCACATGTTCTCTTAATGTGTCTCCATCTTGTATGTTAAATACATGAGAGGATCCTCTTTTAATGATATATTTTACCATATATTGAGCGAACTCTTTATCAGTTATATACTGAATATTCATGTGAGCATCCCATAATAAGAGAATAGCAGGATGATAAGGGACTACTCATGAATTTGCATTAGTTAAACATTTATAAATATAACGGGAGGCTTCTTCTTGATAATGAATTATTTGACTGTAAGAACACAGAAAACCTTTTTTATACGTCTAACCTTGTGAGGCAGGACTTTGACATCTATGATTGCAAGTATGTATTTGATTAGCTATTACAGAAGCATATAATTCAGGCTCATATAGAAGATCAGGTATCATTGAGTGGATGACATTATTTGCAATCATATCTGAAATAGAATTATCAGTCCAATAACAGCTATGAATATGTGCTGCATTTTTATTTTGAAATTCAACTTGATCAAAAAAGTCTGTGATCTTGCCAAATCCTGTAAATTCAAGTTTTTTATACAATTCCTTTTTTAGAAATTGAAATTTGTGAATAAAATAATTTGCATAATGATAAGGTCTATTTATTGGTAATGGATTATTGTTATCTGTATTAATGAGTATATTATAAAGATGAATCCAACGTCTTTCAGCCATGGTTAAGATTATAAATAATGATGGTAGACCAAATTTTTTTAGCATTGCATTAAGGTGAAGTTGTTTGTGATAAAAGTAAGTATCTCCTGTGCGTATAAAAGTAGGCAGGAGAATCATTTTAGTTTTATCTATAGTGAACTCTTAATATAATGAATTCTAGAATCTGGATATCAACTTCATTATAAGCTTATAACGAATTTTTAAAGAATTTAATTAGCTAGTTCATTATAATAAGGTAATTTTAATATATTTGATTTAAAAATTCGCTATATCAAGAGTTCGCTATATCAAGGTTTGACTGTAATTTCAGATATCTATTATATTCACTAGATTGGAGTAATTGCCTTACGGTAGGAAGATTGTTTATATTAGGATTGATATTATTTTGTCTTAAGAGTTATTGAGTATTTTGATGATATCTCAGTTTCTCTAATTGTAAGTATGACCAAGAAGGCCAGTGATAATGAAGCCTCCATCATAAATCGTAATTTATTAATCGTTATCTGATATATTTACCATAAGTTTCTTCTCTCATATTATCATCTGTGATGTCTGATTGATCTAATATATCATGAAAGTGACCTTTTCCATCTGTAAATAGATCAGAAAAAATTAATGGTTCTAGATTAGGATCATATGTAGCAATAGGAATACGTAATGCATCACTTTCACAGATGAATCCTGCCATTAATCTAGAGTAATGGAAGTCTTCATTATAAACTTCATCTGGAAAGTTCAAATTGGGAACTATGATATCTCAAGTATTTACAGATGGGATATCAAGATTAGTAGGAAGATGTGTTGCCCTTGAAAATGTTTGATTTCTTGCTGTATTTTGTTCATCGTGTAATGTTAATATGCTAGCATAAGATTGAAGGTATGGATTATTATTCGCTAACCAAGCTGCAGCGTGTTTTAGAATTTGATCATAAATAGGATTATTATCTAGATGTCTTGAAGCAATTGATTGATTAATATCATCTGGTTGATCTATGAATGCGTCTAAAATTCCAGAATATAATGCATGTGCTCTAATGTTATAAGAGTAATTTATTGATTTAGTTAAGCATCTATATTCTGAGAAGGAGTTGCTATTTGGAGTCCTTTCTAATGAATAATGTAAATAAACTGGTGAGAGATGTTTCCTCTTATGCAAGGGAATTGAGAGGATTTCTTGTGGTATAGGAAATAAATAAGGGAACGTGAACCTTGTAGTAGGCTTCTTGCATGATTTACAGGTAGGTATTCTTAATTCAGGAATACGATTGGTATTTAGGTTGAATGATAAGATAATATTTGAAATGTGTTGTTGTAATAGGTAGATGATAGATGGTTTGTAAAAGATCTATGAAGCTTTTTTTGGATATAGAAGCCTTTTACAATAAACGCAAGTGATCTGAGAATATTATTCCAAGATGGTATTTTGAAATCTGTCATAGAGTCTTTGCAGCATAGTTGATGATCTCCAATATGTGATGATTGCATTTGAATGCTAAGGAGTGGTTGGTATGATGTGGGCTAAAGTAGATCCAGGTGAAAAGATGTTAGGATTATTCAGTGAGATAGATGTGATGTTCATTATAGTCCAATCAAGTGTCATTTTGTATTCATTATTGAAAATATAAATTGAGTTGATTTGATGGAACATGATGAAGGGATTTGAAATAAAAAAAGCTATTTTTTAATAAAGTATTTTTTTACTTACAGTAAAATACTAAAGACGTAATAGAAAGGAATTGATCGATCGTATTTACTTTGTTAATAACTTTGTAAACAATCATAAAATTGCGAAATCAGGTTAAAATGATGATTAATATTTAATTATAAGTACATTTTATTTAAGATTAATACAAAAAAAAAATTTTTTTTTTATTATTTAAAATTGAAGGGTTTTGAATAATATATATAGTAGTGAAATAAAATTTATCATAGTAAATTGTTTCACAAAGTATAATCAATGAATTTTTTTATTTTATGTAAAAAAATTAAATAAAAAAAAGCTGTTTATAGTTTTTCGTTAATATCTTAATTTTAAATATTTTTTAAATTTTAATAAATTTTTACTTTTTTCATATTTTTTTCGAAATTATAAGTTATAAAAAAAGAAATAAATAAATCTGAGAAAAAACTTTACAGCTGTTGAGTTCTCTTTTAAAATAAAAAATCTACAAAAATAAAATATATACCTATACTTTTTTTTTTTTTTAAATAATAATAAAAAAAAAACCGAACTAAACAACAAAAATACTGTATATCGTATTCAGTTCAGGTTAGTTATTCGGTAAAAATGTATGAGTCAAATTTTTTTTAATAAAAATATTACTTTAAATATATATATTTTTGTTTTTTTTTTTTAAAAAAAAACAAACTACAACATATAATTCAATTTTAAAAAAATTTTTATTATTATCTTTAATATTAAGAAAATTTTTTCATTCTTTGTAATAATCTAGCTTTTTGATGATGTTAAAGTCTTACGGTCTATCATAATTCTAAAAAATGAAAATTGTTTACATTTCATGAGAAAAGAATTTTACGCTGAGTCACAAAAATTTTACGAATCAAAGCATATCAATTAAACTTTTTTACCTTTGATGATATGGGAGCTGATCTATTAAAAGTGGATTCTGAGACTATAAATTGATTTTGAGTAATTGATGATCAAAAAAATGTTACGTCACAATAAACATACTTGGCCAATAAAAAATTGCACTAAAAATAATATTGAGTCTAATCAATTAATAAGGCGATACTTTAATTTTATATATATAACATTTATTATAATAATTATTTTTATAAATATTAAATTATTTTAAAAATAATGTAACTATAAAATATCTAAAATTTTGCTATTAAAATTATACGAGAGATTTTTTGAGATTTTGCTATTAAAACCATACTCCAAAGCATTTTTATATATGTCGATCATTTGTCAATCATTGCTATAAAATCTAATTTTAGATATTTGATTGATATTACATAGAAATTTAAGCATTTTTGCCAGCCAAATTACTTGTTTTATTAATAAGCTAATAGCCTCTAGAAATTTAATCAAATAAAGTTCATATAATATACTATAATATGAATCAAAAATCTCCTTTTTTGTAAAAAGTTCCTGTAACCCATTTTTAATAGATCAGCTCCTATATTATGATATTTTTTATTATCAGAGGTCAGCGCAACAAAATGTAATGAACGAAGATTTTAGGCAGGGTAAATTCACAGTCTATTTGTGAATAAATGAATTCGAATTTTTTGTATAGAATTATTGGTGGGATATTTCTTGTTTGACTGAGGTGGTGTCACTGTGAAATTAATATTGATAGGAATCGGGTTCGCATTAATGATTATTTCTAAGGTTCAATATTGTGATCTTTTATGGTTGTTGTCGTGACAGTGGTGGTAGTCATCACGTTCATTCGTGATAAAGTTTGTTGACTTCTTCTAGGTCTCTAGTGGTAGAAGTCAAAGATCAAGTAGCCCTTTCGTTATTCTGATTAGGACTAGCATTTGATCACAGCAAGTTAAACAATCTGTTGTTAATGCAATTTTGGTTCGAGATCGTTAGGATCAATGAAATATCGTCAAGGTCCATAATATGCTTTTCTGGAAACGATTCTTCACCTAAGAAAGCATTGAGAGTCTGTTGAATATAACTTATAATACCAACTAAGAGAGATCTTGTGCTTTAGTTAATCGCGTTTGTCTTGTTCGCAAGGTAGATGTTATTTGAGTCATGACGAACTTCGATCCAATAGTTACAGAGTTCTTTTTCT